GAGAGAGTCAATCCTGCCAGCCTGATGCCACAAGGGGAAGATTTGCTGGCTGTACAGCCCTCTCTGTGTGTCTATCTGTCTGTGTCTCTGTGTGTAGTTGGTGTTCAGGGGACAAAGGAAGGCCCAGAACTGCGGCCGTTGGTCAAAAGGGCAGCAACTGAAATGTATTGTTCCTGAATAGTGCTTTACCAACCCCATCCAGCACTGTCTTCAGAGCTCTCCTCTAGTGTAACAAACCAGACCAGACCGATCTGAGATGTAATCACTGGGGGGTGGGGGATGGATGTGACAAATGTCTTGTGGACTTTAGCCTACTCTTGTAAGGTGCATTACTACCTCAGCTGCTACTATGTCAGTGAATGCAGAGCATTTCACAGGTTTGGGCCTATTCTTAGGTAAACTGCACTGGATGTGCTGTAAACAATGCACATGTGTTATTGCCAATTGTTACTGTAGTCTGCAGCTACTATCATTTCCCCTCCAAGCAGAATTTTGTCCTTTTTACATTCATATTATCATTGTGATCTTGAACCTCTGGGAATTCTCGTATCCAAGTTTCAGTATCTTGGAAACACCATTCGTACAAGGAATGTCACCAGCAGTCTCAGCAGATTTACTAGTGCTTCCCTGTAAGGAGTTTTCTACAGATCCTGCCCAAGTGCACTAGAAGAGACCCCATTCCGTCTTCCAGTAGTGACTGAGGGCACCCATCACCCTCTAGTGATATTGGACCCAAAGTCCTACAAAAGAATATTTGCCTGAGAGTGTTTCCTTGAAATACCCAATATAATGAGGCTCGTGGCATACTGTAGGCACGCTCCATCTGTGCTATCAGAGTATCACACAAGAATCAAACATTTGTTAAAACCCTCCCGGTGGATTTTGATGTTAGTGGAGTACCTTTGTATTAGTGTGTCTCTTTGGCAGTGGTTGTATAAAGCTCCACCTCAGCTCCTTGTCTTCTCACCGTGGATTGTTTGGGTGTTTGATGCAAAACAGAATAGAATATACATGGACACACAAACAGGACACGGGCCCAAAACAAATTTCTGTGCTGAATTTCTAAACCAGCTAACCTATTCCAATCCATTCTTTGCTGCCATCTTATGCGCTGCAGCAGCCGCAAGTGCTGCAGTGCCAAGAGGCAGTGCTCCATCTCTCTCTCTCTTTTACATTAATATGTAGGCAGGAACTCCAACCAGCTCAAATATTGTAATACAATTAAAAGGTAAAATAAACGAATATAGGAAATACATACAGTATATTTATATACATATTTATTCAGATACTTAAAATTCTTATGTAAAATATGATTCTTCTATATTATTTGTGAAAAAATATGACTTAAAATGGTGTCACCTTGATTTTTCTGTACATACCCTCCATTCCAATTTAAGTCCCTTTAAAAAGGCAAAATACAGATAAAAGTGTATCTTCTAAATCACGGTTACCAGCCTTGTGGCCAAAACAAAATGAAAGAGCCCTGGTAAACACTATCGGATTGCTGTTTTAAGAATCCCCACTTTTATTGCATTAATGGAAAACCCAAGTGCTTCCAGTTCCCCTGCCAGGGAAATTGTCTTGGCCCTGCTGAGAAACTGCACACACACAATACCCTGTTATCTCTAGTTCACAAATCTTCCTTTGTCATTTTTACACAAATATTAAAATATATATTACTTAAAATATATTACTGTAAGCTCTTAAAATCAATCTTTTTTTGTATCAAACGTCTACTATTAAAAAAGTAACAAAGAAAACGCATCATCATCCTAGCGACTGCCTGAGCCATTCTCCACCCCGCCCCTGGGGGCAACGGGACTTCAAGTTTTAACCATACTCTCTTACCCATGCTAGTTTCATGTGCTTCAGATTAATTGAGGGTAGTTTCCAGAGCTGAGAGATGCCACAGGCAATAACTTTCTAGCGATGCCCTCCCTCCCCTTCCCCCTCTGTGATAAAAGCCATGCAAAAGGCAGCATGCCACACCTTGTCCTCCCACCTCCCCTGTGACAGTCACGTTTTCAGAATTGATCTGCAATTTTGCATGTTCCACCTGATGCCATCGGCCTGATTTTGAAAGGTGCTAAAAGCTGGAATTGTGGACACAGCAGAATCCAGGCCCTAGGATTGAGGTATCTTAAAACTGGCGGCTACTTCTGAAAAATTGGACCAAAACAAATGAATCCAAATGAAATGCGGAAAGGCTTCCTCGCTGAACTGTAACAAACTCAGCCACTTCCAGTGACTGTGCCCAGCACTGCAGCCTTCACTCACACATGCATCCTTGTTTTCCACAGGACCACTTGCATGAGTGAGTGAGTGAGAGAGAGAGAGAGAACTGGCCCATAATGCTCTTAGTGGCTTCTAGAACAATTTAAGTGGACTTAATTTAAGCAGTAATAGCCAAAAGTGAGCAGATCCCCTGGTATTACTCATCTGTCCAATAATTAAACCTTCGAGGAAATGGCTTCCTTTACATTTCTACTGATGGGATCCATCCTTTACTCAGTATCAGTTTTTTCCTTGCATTTAAAAGGAGACATTGTCAACTTAACCTTAGAACAAGTTTCCTTCCCTATTACCAATGTGCTCTCAAAAACGTGAAGATAATTTCTACAATTCCATTTACATCTCCATTCGTGGACTGTGCCCCTATCAAATATTTCTTTGCACTGAACAGTGAAATCAAACTGATCAGTTTCACACTCTCATTCTCATGTTGCAGGGCCTGAATTGCAATCCAAGCAGGGGAAGATACGAATCTGAATAACTTTTTCTTGTGGCAATTTTTATGTCACAAACATTGCTTTGACATTAGGCATTGTAAAATATTGTGAGTATTCCATTTTTACATTGGCATTTATTATAAAGTGCTATCACCACAATATCTGGATGCCCAGAGCCAAAGATGTTATGTCTCAACTACTCCTCATGTCCCTTGACTCTCAGTAGCCAATAGCAAAGAGTTATTATTTTGCTAAGGGAAACATTTTAGGGGCAGGTGATTGGAAAGAACTGGGGCTGAAGGGAGCACTGTCCGCACTAGGACTACTCACTGATGAATATTCCTCCTCTAGCCTCAGGTTCCCCTATCTGAACCAATGGTTATTCCATCCCCCGACCGTGAAATGCGCAAATCTGTCCAGGTTTGGGCAGGCCTGTTCTTGTTGGAACTTTCAGTAATCCAACCCCCTTTATTTCTACTAGCTACCTACCAGTTCAGTGCCTGCCAGTGAGTCTATGGGTACTGTTCTATCACGATCCAGATCGAGCTTGTTGAATTGTGCTAAGCTCGGAGCCGTCCAACCAGGAGGATTCGTTACACTGGGAAGAGGCAGCTACTACAAAACTATTGACGCAACCAAATATAGCTAAGGCACTAACTGAGCTGTAAACCTCTAGATCACCATCTAAGAAGATTATAATGACCACTAAAAAGGAACGGAGTCCTACTGATATCTTAGTGGTCGTTACAAATCCAAACTGGACACTTCCTAGATCTAGTTTCCTTCTTGCTATGAAAGTGACTCTAAAGTAATTCAGTTCCTGCAGTAGTATTTCATGCAACAGCAGCTATTTATGACTCAGAAGCAGCATCACACAGAGGGAAATAGGTGTACAAAACATGGGCAGTCAGACATGCAAATACCCACTGAGGTGATGCCATGAATTTCAAGGGAGTTGAGGGGTAGAATCAAAGTTAGGGGCTCTGCTCCTATTTTAAAATATCCAGCTGAAAATAAAACTGCAGGTCTTTTGAAGTGAAAATTGCAGCAGACCTAAAATCCCTGCCAACACAACCGGGACCACAAGCCGCTTTATTATGCCAGTGCCTTCTGCTCCCTTCTTATGAGGCTTGTCACCATGGACAAGTTATACCTGTGTCAATTTAAAGACTGATAGAATTATACCAATTTAACTTCCCCTGGAAGTCCCTAGTAGTGCTTATCCTGACATCACCCTGTTTGAAACAGGAGCCATGAATGACAGTGGGCACTAGCATCATGAGCTGTAACTCATGCAGAGACCCTGGGGGGGAAGGGGGACGCGAGGAGGCCTAATTTGTGTTTTAAACAGGGCTAAGTCGAAAGAACTAGGTATCCTTTAGTTCGAGCCTGCACTCTACGCAGGGGATCTGTAGCATGGCATGCTAGCGCACACTTGTAACTTATGCCCTGTAGTCTGAATGGGGGGGCTTGCACAGATCCTGCCCAGCACATCTATGACCAACGGGAGACCAAAAACTCACTATATAGGCTGGATATCGGCTGATCTTATGAGACCAAATGGCAGCCCAGCCAGGAATATGATCATGAGTTTTGTATGAAGGCTACAACAATTTCTGACCAGGATTAGGAAGAGGCAAGAAAGATACGTACACGATTATACTAGTATAACTGGTAAAATTTTCCTGAATAGACAAACCCTGAGATAGCAAGGAAACAGAAATAGCTCTCTCTCTGTGCTTCAGCAAACAGGAGTCTTGTTCATTTTACTTACCAGTTGGCTGTATGCTGATCCCACAATGTCCATCTGACACTGTATCCCATAATTTAAAAGATGCTGCAGAACTGAGTCTTGCACAGGAAAGAGGAAAACTAGAAGTACTGCATTACTGCCCTCACGGGCACTTGCTTTGGAATGCACTAGGCCCATAAGACAAAGGTGCCCTTTGAGACAGAATACATGGTTTTGCAAGGCAGAAGCCAAAAAGGTTCTTTTTCTTGATTTGCTTTTTTGCATGCACACCAGAATCACTATCTAGAGCATCTGGAACGTGCCAACTGGGGGATGTTTGCTTACTGGCGAAATGCTGCCGACAGTGCACTTTCAGAAACCAGGGGTGTTGGTGTTAACTCTTCTGCCGGGGAGTGATGGATTTAAAGATATTTACCTATGGAAAAAGAGGGTACATACCGCCCCCTCCCCCCAACAAATTCAGGATGAGCAAAACTGAAGATGGGCATATAAAATAGTTCATGATATTTCCTCCCCCCCCCAACAAATTCAGGATGAGCAAGACTGAAGATGGGCATATAAAATAGTTCATGATATTTCACTGCTGACTATCTTGTGTGGAGGGTGGCAAGGAGAGAGATTGAAAGGTCAGGCACTCAACTTGCTCATCAACAAGCTGCCACCCGCTGTTGGCTAAAATGCACTGTGCACAGTCATCTACATTGCCTGTCTCTAACAGCAGCGCCTTGTACACTTTTTCATGTGTGAATACATTCAAACTGGAAAAAGCCCAACCTCAGAGGACTAGCTAACGGGTTATCTAATGATACCCTATCAGCTGACTTGTCGGTATTGCTTCCTTTTAAAAATATCTTTGGATTAACGGTGATCTGTGTCCTTTCGGCAAAATGATACAAGAATTTCTATCTAATCAACGTATTCCTCTCTCAAACCGAGACAACATGGAACTGGCCTGATGTTCTTTATTGGGAAGAGGATGCTACCTACAGATAACCTGGTGCTTTGATATTGTGAAATGGGTGCTGGAGCATACTGCCCTTGTGCACTGTGGGAAGGCGTGGGCATTCCAGTACTCTACTGGCCAGCCATATACTCCTGTTGCTGAGACGATGGTGCTGTCATCTCTCTTCAATTCTGATTACTACGTTTGGGAGACACTGAATATTAATGCTCTCGAGAGTGAAGGGTCGATATCACTAGCTGCAACCTGGTATTAGGTAAGCCAGCCCTGGGTAATCGTCTCACACGCCGCTTCGTCAGTGATCCCCATCTACTTCTGCCAGTGCTTCTCATTCTTGGCTTGTGACATCTACTGTCAAAATCTGGGGTCTGAGTAAAAACTTGGGATCAGGCCAAAGGATTTGATGTTTTGATAGTTGAAGAAATGTCCTTTTGGGACAACAAAGTAGCCACCCAACCATAGTGTCCCATGCTTCACACTTAGCTAGAGCTAAGATCTTCTACGCCAATGAGCCTATTGTGTTAGTAGCCATGACATGCTGCCTGGAAAGCTGCACGTCTGAGGGTGTCACTTAGTGCATTTAACTTGTGCAATAGATGGTCATGTTTGATGGTTGGAGACACCCCACTGCTAACATGGTAATGCCTAGGTAGCAGGTTCCTGACACAGGTCTCCTCCAGTCACTGACAGTCACTAGCTGTGCTTACTTGAGTTTTTGGAGATGACTACTACTATAGGTTGCCTTTCCAATCTTCCAAAAGTAATTGAGAACCAAGGTATTGCCTTTGTATGGACAATGTTACTGTAACCGACGAGTGGGAAAGCAAACAACGTGCAAACAAAAATCCCCAGCTGCTATTGCACAACCCTCTTTGGCTTCCAGAAACGTAGAGTCAGGGGACAACTGGTAAGCGATCAGCATTAATGAGCCGCCACTTCCCAATCATGTGAAAACTAAAAACGGAGCCAACTCTGAACTGATGCTCCTTACCTCAGAGTTCTGTGCCAGACAGTATAAAGGCCTAATCTTCATCTCTCGGTTTTTAACTTTTCCTGTTCTTCTCTTTTGCAATGGAAAGACCTGGGGGCTAAAGTTTGGCTGGAAGTTCTCTCATCAATACAGAGCAGACCTAAGGCTAACCTGGAACAGGGACTGACAGGAGGTGTGGCTAATGAATCTGCAATACAAGTCAAACATTGTCTCCTAAAAGATAGAAAAAATAATTTTTAAACAAAATAATGTGACATATTTACATGATTCCTTAAGTGCAAACTCTTGTCACGATTCACAGAGTTGAGTTCGCTTAGACTCACTATACAACAAGGTGCTCTTTCTTCCAAGAAGAACGCTGCTCTGTATTCCTGATTCAGTGACGTGTCTGTGCAAGGCAGAAAACGCCTCTTTCTTCAGGCAGTAATTTCTGAAGGAGGCACAAAACCAGGCCGCCTTCCCCCGTGGTCGCGCATCTCAGTTACCGCACTACAAGGCAGGAGACACAGAGCTTAGAGGGGCCAATGCAGTCATCATGGCAGAAGGCACCACAACCCTTGCACATGATCATGGCTTTCAACCTGCAATAGCATTTTGAAGGTGAATCCTCCATGTTGTCATCACCAAAGGCTTGAACCGGGATGGTCTGATGGTGGTTGCCAGGGTTCATAGCCGGGTTGGCGGGAATCGTGGTTACAGTCACAGAGAAAGACATGACGTTTCCCATACTACTGGCCAACTGATTGCACTCGGACAGCCCAGTCATGAGGGACCCTTGGCTCACCTCTGGAGAGGTGGACACATTTATGGTGCCGCTGTAACGAGGACCAATGAGCTGTGCGGCCGTGTTTCCGTATTGCTTTGGAGGGTGCGAGGGGGAAAGCAGCGGAGGCTGCTGCAATGCAGAGTTTGCAAGCGGTGCAGAACTGCTGTAAGCATGAGGGTCACCATGCATCGGTTTCTCTCTCATCGCATGCGCCACTTGCTGCTGGGCTGCCTGAATCAAATCTCTTGCTAATGTGGTTCCGTCAAACACTCGGCCCCTGGGGAGCTGGTGAACACTCTCCGGCCTGGCTGCTGTTTGCTGAGAGAAGACTGCCTCTTCCTTGACGTTCTTTCCAGCAGGCAGCCAGCAGTCTGAAGAAACACTGACACTGTGTGGTGCCTGTTCTCTTCCATGATGGCCAGAAACCTGAGAAACCAGGGGTTCCTCCTTTACAGTGATATGTCCATATTCATCACCAGTGCTCTCGTCATCTGCATCTCCTTCATCACTGCTGCTGCCATTCCCCGTTATTTCTTCACATTCCCCACATTCTGTTTTTGGATCATCAGAAGGATCATTCAGAAACAAGCGGTTCTCAGTGTTCACGGACAGACCTCTCCTGAAACTCTCTGAGCCGCGGCCGTAGGTGGAAATATTCAGCAGGTAATGGCCAGACATGGCAGGCTTGGATGTCCTCCTTCCCATGAAACCCAGCATGAATTTCTGACTGGTGGAGCTGTTGTCTAACTGGAAACCTGAGTGAGTGAGGCTGAGCTGTGAGGGCTGCAGGACTGAGAACAGATTCTGCCTCTGGACCTGCTGGATAAGCGTCTGAAGGATCTGCTCTTGAGAGGCCTTGTCGAGTGCCTCTTGGCACTGGTCAATACTAGTGCCCCTCAGGTCCTTTCCTGAGAAGAGGGGAAAGGCCTTTGGAACGTGATGCAGCTGCCTGTTTGGGAAAAACAGCTTTCCAAGTTGCTGCATCGCTAACTCTGATTGTCTGTCACCATGTTCCCCACCAGAGCCATTCCCGGCTGTGCTGGTGGCCCTGGAAAACACCGCCCCTTTTGACTCATTTGGAGCTAGTGGGACAGTTTTCATTTCTACTTTGGTGAGAGGCTTAGGCATGATTAGCTCCATTGGGACATCTTTCCCTTGGAGCAGCTGGGTGACCAAGGGGTTGTTAGCAGGAATACTGGAGCTCGTCTTCAGGAGGGGCCCACCTGTGCTCATGGGAGCTAGAGGAGCTGTAAGGCGAGGGGTTACTGACAAAGTGCTAACAAAGGAGGGAGGAGATGTAGGAGATGCTACCACAACACCAGCCTGAGTTTCTGAGGTTACGGCTGCCAGCGAAGACAAAGCGGGAAGAGGTCTGCTCATGGGAATACTTAGGCTGGTCCCTTCGGTGGCAGTAAGTGCTGACTTGGTCACATTTTTGTCAACACCTGCTCTGGATACACACACATAGACTGTGTCATCCCTGACAGGTGGTGCCCCTGAGATCTGGCTTGGACCTGTCAGAGCTGAAGGTGCTTTCTCTTGTCTCTCATTACTGAAAGAACGTACGAGGCTTGAGCCAGCAGATGGTCTGGACGCCTGGCTCACAGTCAAGTTGGGAGGGCCCACTTGTGCTCTGTTCATTGTCTCTAATGCTGGTGGGGCTGGTGCGACTGACTCTCTGCCTCTGTCACTGATTGCCGTTCTGGACTGTACCGCGGGAGTCGGCTGTAGTTGTGCTCTAGAGTCACTGAGAGGTGATGCGCGCTCTGTGGCCTGGGTCGTCGCTTGGGAATGGGTCTCTGAACAATGGGGAAAAGGCCTTCTCGGACCTCCCCTGCTTCCAGCTCCTGCCAGTTCCAGTGCACTGCCTTGAATTCCAGTTTCATTGGTTCTACTTGTTGCTGTACGACTCTTCTCCTCTCCTCCTCCCCCTCCTGGGCAGCTGCCACCGCCTCCCGGACCAGGCCCTGGGATGGCTCCCCCATTGGAGGCTGCGGCGGGCGCGACACCGCGCCGCGCGGGCTGCTGCTGCTGCTTCCCTCAGGGCCTTGGCCAGCTGTGCTTTTGCTTTGATGTCTGCCAAAGTTCTGGCCCCTGTTCTTCTGGGACTGATGACTGAGGTTGGAAAGCAAGCCCTGGGAGAGACCTGGCTAGCAAGAAATGGCATAGGGGAGATTCTGGAGACAGGAATCTGGAAAAAAGCAGAAGAGACACACAACTGAGCAGAAGGGAAATTCTAAAATCGGTAGCATCCAGAATATGTGCACGAAGCCAAATCCTTAGCAATTTTCAGGTAAGCTAAATAGGAAAATGGGTAGTAGAGATTCTTTTATTAGCAAGCTATCTAATTTAATCCTGGGTTACCAACCTGTACACGCAGTTGAGAAATCCAGAGTACAACTGGCATGAGAGAAAATTCAAAGCCCAGGTAGCTTGGGATGGGCAAAATTACAGGAGTAAGCAATTCTGCCTACAATTTCCAAAACCATTTAGGCCAGAGCTATCTGAAGTCTTGATTGGGTCTACAAATCAGGCAGTTAGACTTGAAAGAGTCTAAGCTGTGAGCGCAGTAACTGTGAGAACAGTTCTGCATCAATGATGATTTGTATCCATGTTTTCACCTCCACAGAAATGGGGGCTATTACTGTAGGGAGTAGACATTTTAAATTCCATCATGGTGTGTAACCCCCTACCAGTAAGGAGCTGCAGCTATCTGTAAACACAGCCCTGTACAGACTGTCACATGACCTAAGCAAGTATTTTGATTGTTCACCAATTGAATGGCTTCCAAATGGTCAGTAGTTAGGATACTTGACAACTGGATCACAAGAACTGGATCTCGGCCAAATCAATTGCATTTTTTATGGCCAAGATAGGAAACTTCCCTGCAGCCTCTTTTATTTTAATCTTACACCAGCGCTGATACATTGCTCCCTTTCCTACAGCTAGATTGCTGGTGGGTTTTTTAGAGTGGAGAAGCTACCCCCAAAAGTCTTCCCCATTCACCACTAGGACTGAGAGAGAGAGACACGGCATGTGGCATCCAGTCAGGAGTGACACACAAGACTGATGTCCTGGCCCCGATGGTTTTTTATTGGACATAGCGTGGGAAGCTGTCAATCTCTCTCAATCCTCCTCCACTATTCGATCTTGGGAAGGGTCACATCTGTTGTGCCCAGCACATTCCTCCCTGCCGTTTTAGTCTTGGGGGCTCCTCCACGTTTCCCAGCATCCTCTACTATTCCAGTTCTGGGCTTTCCTGACGGTGCCACACTATTGGCCGGAAATACCAGTTCCAGCAGACTCCCCTTGCCCAACAGCAGGGCTTTGGAATTCCTGTATCGAATCCTTTCTTTACTAGACCATGCAAGTAGTGGGATTTACATGGACAACTGGAATCAAAATGGAGGCAAAACATGTTTGAGTGATACCCGCAGGTGTGACCCCCAACGGACTTGTCTCCATTTTCCTTTACCTTGAGTGGCGGAACCCTTCGCACCTGTGCCCCATCCCCCGCGGCAGGAAAGGGCTGGGGCTGGGTCCGAAACGACTGCTGGAACTGGCAGCTGTCCGTGAGTCGTGGCTTTTTTTCAGGACTGACCAGCACTACTTCCTGACCCGCTGACTTTCTCTTGAGGCCCTCGGCATTGACATCCACCTGTTCCATCGCGGCAGGCTCCTCTTTAGGGGTCTCCTGGCGAGTAGCTCGACTCGCCGCACTTTCTGCTGGCTCAGGGCTCCTTGGTTTGCTTGGGGCCATGGCTGAGGGACTTGTGGTTTCCTTACCTGACAGATCTCTGGATGCAGCGATGCAGCGGGCTGCCGTCCTTCTTCTGGCTTCTGACCAGAGGTATCTCGTGGCTTTTCTTGTATGGATTCCTCAGGCCCCTGCAGTACTCCAGAGAGCGTTTGGTCAGTAAGTTCCAGTGCTGAGCAATTTACAGACGCTACCGTTTTGCCTGTTTGGGGAGGCACAAATTCTCTTTCCTCTCCTTTCTTCACTGCTGGCGGAGGCACTTGCACGGCTTGTGCTTTCGACTCGGACACGGATGTTATCTCCTCTTTCCTGGGCAGCGCCTTGGAAACTAGCGTGCGATTCCTCTGTTCACCGGGGGGATTCCCGGCCTGCGTGTCAGCAGTGCTACTGGAGGCTGTCAGTCTCCTGGACTCTTCTGGACTCATTCCGGAACTAAGAAAAAAGAAACATTATGTTTCAGAAAACTTGCCTGAAAAAAGCCTTCTCTTGCCATAAAAATAGGGGCAGAGGGTTCTGTCTCCACACCAGAACCTGGAGAAACGCTTCACACAATCACCTGCCCTGGTTTTAATCCACCATTTTTGACACTTTTCACTGACGTGTAGGGTGGAACTTAATGGCCCTGCCACACTGCTCTTGGCCAATGACTAAACTGCACAGAGCTACTACACTAGGTGTAAAAGCCCTTTCAGCAGCCATCCCCATATAGAGGTAGAAGCCTCCCACAAAGCCACAGGACTTACCTCTGGCTCACCTAAGCTGTAACCCCATAACCTGGAGTTTACAGAAGGATACATCCTCCCCATCCTCCTCCCAAGAGGCTACACCATTTTTCCAGCACTTTTTATACTACTGAAGTGCCCTCAGTCAAAAAAAGTGAAGGTATAAATGTCCTCAGAGAGCAGGACTGCTTGCTGATGGAAGAGCTCTGCATCTAATCTCTCTCTCAGCCCTGCCCCCACAGGAAACAGGGGGCATCTCATTAGGCTGCCCCAATCCCACTCCCCCACCAGCCCAGGCAACAAGGTGAGAATCTGAACGAGGGATGTAAACGTTTAACCGGCAAGCCTTACCCCTTTAGGACGTGGCTTACCAGGGAACCAGTAGGGCTGCAGTAGCTCCCCACCTGCCTCGGCAGGAGGCTCCTCCAGCCCTGCAGGGCCCAGGATGGCCCAGGTCCCTGATACTGCAGAGACCGCAGTGTAACCATCTGCATTTTTAGTGGTTACATTTTTAAACAAATTTTTACATCCCTAATCTGAACCTGAATTCCCAGAAAAATAGCTGCCACAGTCCTCACCCCCAACACACAATCTTGTCACAGCTATTGTCAGAAACTTGGTCTGCAGCATGAATAAAGAGCCAGATGTCCACAGAAGCCAGAGTACCATGGATCAATGCTTATCAGTCAATGATAAGGATCATGATTTTTGCATGTTAATTGCGTAATCATTGTCTTTTTCAAGAGGATGCTCTTGGCAGACAAATGTCATGTGGTGTGACAGTATCCATGCAGGACAGGAGCTTCATTCGCTACAGGCCAAGAGGGCCAGTTGCTTCCCCCAGTCGGGGGCTGCTCCCCTCCCCCCGACTTTCAAGAACCTGGAGACACTACAGGAAAGGACACTTGCCGTTTTCAGTGAGGTCTACCTTTGTCAAGAGTAGTCTAAAGAAAGGCTTAACTGTCTGGGCAGGTCACCAGACTCAGATTTCCTCTCTGAGAGCCAGGGCCTGCTGCCCCACACTTGTCTGTGTCACTAACCCAGCACAGCGTGAGCGCTCTCATGCTCATGAGAATGAGGTGTGGAGCAGCCCAAGCCACATGTGGGTTCAAGTCACACAGCTGAATGGTCAGGAGGCAAGGGGAGTTCCAGAGCAGAGCACAGCTCCTCATCACTGAAGTTCTGGAGAGAGATCAACTCTTTAGCCATTTTTACAGTATCAATCCTACCTCTGTTCTTTTCACTCTCTCATAGCATACAGCTACTGATTGAGGGACCTGAAATACTCTGCAGAACCCTAACTGCATTTCTGCAGCAAACCCCACAAGCATGCAGGGGCAAAATTAGAAAGGTGAAGACAAAACGAGCTCAGTCTAGCTAGAGACAAAAAGGGGAACAAGAAAACACTCTACAAATATATGAGAAGCCAGAGGAAGACCAAGAACAGAATAGGCCCATTATTCAATGGACAGAGAAACAACAACAGGAAACTCGGAAATGGCAGAGGTGCTTAATGACTGACTTGTTTCAGTTTTCACCAAGAAGGTTGGTGGTGACTGGATTCCAGATATAGATAATGCCAGTGGAAACAGTGTAGGTTTAGAGGTTAAAATAGAAAAAAAAATGTAGTAACTTCAAGTCACCAGAGCCTGATGGACTGCATCCTAGAATACTCAAGGAGCTGACAGAGGAGGTATCTGAGCCTTCAGCTATCATCTTTGAAAAGTCATAGAAGACGGGAGACAGAAGACTGAAAGGGTAATGGGAAGTAAGAACAACCCAGAAAACTACAGACCAGTCAGTTTAACTTTTGCACCAGAAAAGATAATGGATGAAGTAATTAACAAATCCATCTGCAAGCATCTGGACGATAATAAAGGGATAGGCAACAGCCAGCACGGATTTGTGAAGAACAAATCAGTTGAACCAACATGACAGTTTTCTTTGCTAGGATAACGAGTCTTGTGGATAAGGGGGAAGCGGTGGATGTGGTATATCTAGCCTTTAGTAAAGCGTTTGATACAGTCTCGCATTATCTTTGTAATCAATAAACTAGGGAAGTACAACCTAGAGGAGACTACCCTAAGCTGGGTGCATAAATGGCTGGATAACCACTCTCAAGAGTAGTTATTAATGGTTCACACATGCTGGAAAGGTATAACAAGTGGGGTTCCGCAGGGGTCTGTTTTGGGACCGGTTCTGTTCAATATCTTCATCAACAATTTAGATATTGGCATAGAGAGGACGCTTATTAAGTCTGCAGATGATACTAAGCTGGGAGGGGTTACAAGTGCTTTGGAGGATACGGTCAAAATTCAAAATGATCTGGACAAACTGAAGAAATGGTCTGAGGTCAATAGGCTGAAGTTTAACAAGGACAAATGCAAAGTGCTCCACTTAGGAAGGAATGATCCATGTCACACATACAGAATGGGAAGCGACTGTCTAGGCAGGAGTATGGCAGAAAGGGATCTAGGGGTTAGAGTTGACCACAAGCTAAATATGAGTCAACAGTGTGACACTTGCAAAAAAAGCAAACATGATTCTGGGATGCATTAACAGGCGTGTTGTGAGAGCAAGACACAAGAAGTCATTCTTCCACTCTACTCTGCACTGGTTAGGCCTCAATTGGAGTACTGGGTCCAGTTCTGGGCACCACATTTCAAGAAAGATGTGGAGAAATTGGAGAATGTCCAGAGAAGAGCAACAAGAACGATTAAAGGTCTAGAGAACATGAGCTATGAGGCAAGGCTGAAGGAATTGGGCTGGTTTAGTTTAGAAAAGAGAAGACTGAGAGGGGACATGACAGCAGTCTTCAAATACCTAAACAGGTGTTACAAGGAGGCGAGAGAAAAATTGTTCTGACGACAGGACAAGAAGCAGTGTGTGACGGACCCTTCAAATACCTATACAGGTGTTACAAGGAGGCGAGAGAAAAATTGTTCTGACGACAGGACAAGAAGCAGTGTGTGACGGACCACCGCAGGTCCGCACTAGAACGGGGGCCGCCGGCGCCCCCCTGGAGGCCGTCGGACGGGCCGGCAGGCAGCCCCGGGAGCAGGGGAGAGCGGGCCAGGGGGGAAGCCCCGCCGGGGGAGGGGCGGCTAACCCCCCGACGGGGAAGGAGGGGCCAGGAACGGCCTTGACTGAGGGGCGAGGAGCCCGAACGGCGCACCGCTCGGCCGGAGCAGCACAGAGCCAGCGTCAGGCCGGTACGCCCCGGCTGTGACGTCAGAGGACGCCAGGACACCCGGGGGATGGAACGAACGCCCCCGACGTCATCACCCGGGCCGTTTGAAAAGCGGCCCAGTGGAGCAGGACGAGGCGGCACTCAGGGGAGCTGCCGCCACCACCGCCGCCCCAGCCGCCAAGGGGAACCCCCCCCCCCCCCCCCGTGGGGGGGGGAGGGGGGAG